CTTTGTTTCATGGGATGAAACAGTAAACTAGTGCGTTTAAAAGTTAAAGGACAGCCTAGAATCTGACTATGCCTTCACCACACAACCAGTTAACAGGATGTCAGGCATGCACCGTGTTTGAGTCTTTACATGTCTACATGTTTTGATCAAGTACCACCAGACAAACAAACCGTAAACCCATCCAGATGCTGGAAAAAGATTAGTACTGCCATAAATTCCAGTTTGTCAGGCTAACAATGTTTCTGTTTAAATTGGGTTATAGGGATGCTGCTTCAGTTCTGCGCGAAATTTTGAGGCCATATTTTTCTTGTGTTTAGCAAATATCCTCTCGTTACATCACTGCTCTTTTTTGCTGATGCAGTGCAATTTGGACACTAACTATGGCCTTTTTGGACCTCTGTCCTGTGTTATTGCCCTCATGTTGCTTTGAAAACTCAGAAGTGCACAGCTGACACATGCATGCTGATAATTGGCTTTCAACTCAATGTGACTCACCATCGCATCTGTGTTTGTAATTATGATTTAGCTATTTACTTTAAAGTCCCGTTTCATATGCTGATTCTATTATTTTATGCATCCTCAGTATCTTTATTTCTCATTGTCAGCAAAACATACTTCTCATTTTTGTATTTCACCTATTGTGTTAATTCCTGGGGAACAAAGATAGACTAGGCTGTTTTCCAAGTTACACTAATGTAATTAAATATGTAAACTTCTGCAATCACTCAACTTAAAAAAAAAATACGCACGTCACACAAGGTCAATATACAGTAAATTGTGAGTTTACAGTTTACAACCGCGGTAGCGCGGTTTGCGCAACTTGCGTATATTACGCCAATATCGCAGTTAACGGCATGTTATATCTGTATGTTATATACATTATATATCTTAAGCCTTGTTTAAAAACGGTATTACATTATCTTTCCATCCGACCAGCTTATGACCCGGGGGTGTGCATGACGATACTACTCACTTCTGGATTGCGTATATTTATAACGTTTATTTTCAGAATGTCGTTTCAAACAAAGCTCCGTTAGTGTAACATGTTAACATATACTTCATTTAAAAATGGTTATACAGATATGTAAACTGAAATGAATCCTACTAAAGTAAAACGTCGGTAAATGGACGTCCCTTTATGAACGATATAAACGATGTGTTATTTTCAACATTGTGTACACATTAAACATTGGGCTGGCCACAAAATGGTGTGAAGACTGTTTTAGCATCGTGTACGCAATTCGCTACATTGGTGATGCAGAACCCAATACATATACGTACAACTAAAGCAATATGTGTTTGAAATACGATATTATTGTAATTTTGCGTGCATGGAACTTACCAAAAGCGGATATTAAAAGAAAACACACACAAGCGTCATAAAATTAAGCACTACATTGCTTTCATAAATTAAAAACATTAAAATATGCTAATACATGTGCACAGAAATCCGCAAGATCCTGTTTAGTTTCACCATTATTTTATTTAAAATCTGCATCCGCAAAGAAACACATTTAAAAGGTATAATAGCTCGGGACCTAGATGCCTCTGATTTTTCTTTCATCCGATATATTCCTTCGGAGCGCCACTGAATGGGAACCGTTTCTACCAATAATGAAATCTTTTTGTGTTCGTCGCTACGCTATTTTGCAGCTATTAGATAAACTGCTATGTAAGTTCAGTTACGTAAGCTAAGCAAATTCAATCACATATGCAAACTGCATAAATCATCCATTTTCTAACGGCTTATTCTGGTCAGGGTCATGGCGGTTAAATAATGTAATCTATTTAAAATTACTCACGATGTGTACGCTGTAAGTAACGTGAATAACATAAGCAATGCAGATTATAAGGTTTGCTCAAAGTGCGTAAATCACGCAAGTTTCATCGCTCTTTACGCTAGTTGCGTGAGTTATGTACGTAATATAATGTTATGTTACATACGTCACATATTTCCCTATTGGCATTCCATTGATGTTCCTTGTCCCCTGGGCTGGCTCCAGCCCTCCCACTGCATATGCAGATGAAAATATTGTTTCCTTCTTTTCCTTTGAAATCTGAAAATATTGTAGAAACCACGGATCATGAAAAAACACACACACAAAACCAAGGCTTAACTAACTGTTCACCATATAATGAAATTATTAAATTAAAACCATTTAAAGCTAGTTTAATTCTGCAAAAAAAAATAAAAAATTTTATCAATAGTCATTCTATCATTAAATTTGCAAAGAGTATGTTTGCACAACTTGAAAGCTACGATTTATATAAGCTACCACAGACAGCTAGATATAAGCTACCACAGACAGTTTTAGGGAATGAATAAGAAGCAAAACCTTTCAAAAACTTACCTAGACATTAAAACAGCATTGATGAACAGAACATTGAACATTCTAAATATGCAATTACATTTTCAGTGAACCGATGGTATCTAAGTAAAAGCATCACCTAGAACATGCCCTCTATGCCCACAGTGATAAATGGGATCACATGGGAAAAGATTCCCCCACCCCAGGGGTCAAAGGTCAAGCAGGAGGAAAAGCAACCCATTCCAGAATGGTGGATATATTCTCTAGTAACTGATAAAAGATATAGCATGATAAAGGATGGCGTATCACACTCACATCATACTCTGTAGGCTTGCACTGGCTTTGTTGCTTGCGCCATTTGACACACAAATGAAGGTGGGGGTCTCAGCACTGAACACTTCCAGCTGAAGGACGCACTCCAAACTCAGTGTGTACAGGATGATGCGCCCCACTGGGCCGACATTTCTCACTAGCGACGTCTCTCCCCCAGGATGACATCACATTCCCGGCAGCTCCTTTGCCGGAGTGTCTGCCAGGCCCAGTGCCCAAGCTCAGCAAAAAATTTCCCCAGTTAGAAATCAGAGAGGATTTCTCCTGCCTCTTAACCTGCTCAGAACAGAACAGGCTCACAATAGGTCTGCAGCTAGCTTACGTACAAACAGCAGTTTCATTATAATGGTGATGTTTCCTATGTTTTGAAATATGCAATGCATAATATAAGGCGCTTTCCCACCAAAGTTCACAAACCTAATTCCAGGGTCTGAGTTTCTGAGCCATTTCGACTGGGAACTCTTGTAGTTCCTGGCTACTTTCGTGTGTTGCTTTTCCACTGAACAGCAGACACTCTGACCATTATGCTAAATAAGCAAGGGACACACAAAAAGCTCATAGGTTAAATTTCACATATAATTTCACACAATGGAGGATGAACAAGTCATATTTGTTAATTATTGCTAGGATCAATCATCTGAAAATCAGTCCGAAAGTAGAGGAAAAATCAGTTCAAAACAGGACACAGCATTTTATTTACATGGCCCACACAATGTTTATAATTCATTATTAAATCTGGCCAGCATATCAATTTTTAGTTTTCTGCTGACTAAAAATTATTATTAATAAGCTTTAATAAACACTGGCAAATTTAACTGCTGGCATCAACATTAATAGACAAAAATATATCGGTTATCAATCTAATTTTTTGATGCAGATATTTGGAGACACAGGCAAAAAGATGTATTCATTAATGCATTTAATGTAATTGACATACAAAAATAATCTGCTTAATTTTCGCTTCACTACTTCTATCACTTTTCCCTGTACTTCCATGAAACTTACATGGCCAGTGCTTGTGGCCAACCAATCAGCAAAATGTATTGCTTTAAGCCCTACTCAGTAGATTCTGGTTGAGCGAAAAATACCTACTCCAGAGTTGGGACTATAAACTATAAACTACCTCAGAGGAACTACAGTCAGGCTTGAGTACCTGCAGTAGGAATGCGAAAGAAGTTCTGGGTTCCTGAAAAAGGTTTCTGATTCTTGAAAACAGTTCCTGTGGGGGGAAAACACCTATATACTATATCAGAAGACAGATACGGGGGAGGGAGAGGGGCCTCAGGGAACTGGCGCTATATAAAAACTGATTGGCCCCTCCCCTGTCTCTCACAGAGTCAAAACATACCAGTGCTAATGATATATATATATATATGTGTGTGTGTGTGTGTGCTGTACTGCTGGGAAGAGCATTAAGATAAAAAGACAAGGCTGCCGCTGGCTAATGAAAATGGGCTGATTGCCTCACCGCTCTGAAGGCACACACGTGACATCCAGCCTTGCTGTCTTGCTGATCCTTTCAATCCTGCGCATTGTATAATGAGTTGGCCGGACCCAGCAGCCACGCGGGCCTGCTGCTGTGAGAGCTCTCCTCGCATGTAACGGCGGCGCTAAGCAGCCACACAGGCCCCGTAAGCAGACTACAGAAGGGCGTGTTTGCGCGTAAAGCATTCTGACAGCACTCCCCGCGTCCCGGCCACGCCGCTATATATAGCAGTGCTGGCTTTCAACAGCCCGCTCATCTCCATTGCAGATTAACCCCGGCCAGGGATTAGTGGCAATGCAGGGACCAGCCGAGCCAAAGCAGGAACGATGCAGTGTGATATGGGGGGGTGGGGAGACACAGTGACGCAGTGACTCAAACAACCCCTTCACCCGCCCTCCTTGTCCTCAATTGTTCTGGTCCGGCAGAGCTTCAGTCGCCTTTCTGACCCCCCACGGCTGTAATACCCCTCCTCCCCACGTACCCCACATGCATATTTAATAATGAACGCGCCCCCCCCTTCCACATTGGGGTGGGTTTTGAATCTCAATCATGGCCTAACTAAGCTGGTCCTATTCAATTAGGCTGGTTTGCTTTTCACATATCCAGTTAATTATGCACCCGATGCAAATTACTCCTAGTATCAGAAACATCGGCATTATGGATGATGGTCAGACAGCCTGAATCGGGAAGGATAATAGTGTCATGGGGGGGTCACGTCGACGGGGAACGGCCGCGAGACTCCGTGGTGAACCTCTCTCACATCCTCAGCCCCGCCACTCATTAATACTGAGGGGATTAGGCTGGGTGGGGGGG